CCACCCCCAGCTCACCACAGGTGTTCTCCAGAGTGAGTGTCTGACTGCCTGTGCAGAGATGAATCATTTAGCCCCTGCCGTGAAAGACCTACCAGTCTAGGGGGACACATTTCTGAAAAAGATGACAGGACAGCATGATCAGGGCTACCATGGAGGTGAGCTCTGGGTGGCCTGGGAGTGTAGAGAAGGGTGTTACCCGGTTTTGGGAGCAGTAAACCAAGGAAGGCTTCCCCAAACAGGCAGCACTCTGGTGGTCGTGCCAGTCCCTGAGATGGACCCTGTGGGGAGGGGCAGTGGGTTGCGTAGGGATGTGGGGGGGAGGGCAGGAAATGACGAGCTCGTTTTGGACATGTGTTTGAGAGCTGGTGGACATACAGGCAGAGGTGTAGGAGGCAGGCAGATACTGGGTCTGGAATTTGGCACAGATACGGGCTAGAGACAGCTTTGAGGGCCACTGGTTCCCAGGTGGGGGTTGAAGCCACAGTGAGAAGGAAGTCACCCTGCACTGGCGCGTGGAGGAGAGGGAAGCAGTGGGGAAACTCGGACCTGGGAAGCAGCTGGATGAAGAGGCGGAATCTGAGGGAGCAGCAGAGAGAAGCCAGGAAGGGGTCATGCCGTGGAGCCAAAGGAGGGGCAAGTTTTGATATTAAATACAGAGCAGCCAGGTGGGAAGTGGGTGGAAGAGTGGCTGTCCAGTCAGATGTTACTGGTGACTGTGTTTGTTCCCTAGGGCTGCTGTAACAACCACAAGCTGCAGGGCTTAAACCAGGGCGTTCATTGTCCCACTGATCGAGGCCAGAAGTCTGAGATCAAGGTGTCAGCAGAGTCGGTTCCTCCTTCGGGAAGGCTCTGTTCCAGTGTCTCTCCTTGGCTTTTAGGTGGCCGTCTTCTCCCTGTGTCTCTTTACACCATCTCCCCTCAATGCATGTTTCTATGTCCAGATTTCCCCTTTTTGGAAGCACACCAGCTATACTGGGTTAGGGCCCATCGTAAACTCATTTTAACTCGGTTGCCTCTGTAAAGACCCCGTCTCCCACTTCTGAAGTTCTGGCCATTAGGACTTCAACATGAATTTTGAGGGGACACAATTCAGCCCCTTAGTTGTGGGGCAGGGGCAGAAGCCAGATAAGAAGATTGAGGAGTGGAGTTTAGGAATCTTTCCAGGGATGCTGCAAAGGGAGGAAGGTGGGGTAAGAGAGGGATCAGGGCAGAGTGTGGTTGTCAGCTGAGTGCTGGAGGACTGCCTGAGCGCTCACGTGTACGCGCACGCGTACACACACACGTGCACACACTGATACCATGTGAGCCCTTGCTTTTCTCGGCTTGCAAGTGCTTCTGCTCTCCCGACCCAGGCTGTTCATGTTCATAGCCTAGAGAAGGTCTTATGTATCCTCTTAGACCAGGCTGTGAGAATCGCGTAGCACTGGGGACTAGGGGACAGGGGTGGCAATACATAACACCAGTTTCCTCCTGCCCTGTGCTCAGAAGCAATTGAGTCCTGATCATTGGGCCAGATGGAGATCAAGATACCAGTTCTTTGATAAGGCTGACTGGTGAGTGTTGCTTACCATGTTTCTTCAGATCTAAGATGCCATCCAGTCCAAGTTGTACCCCTGAGAAACATTACAGTCAATTAAACTATGTCATGCCATCAGATGGGATGATGCTTCCCAATTTGACATGTTAACATGTGAACTGTACATTTTTGGTAAGTGAGATGTGGTATATTGGGGACAAAGTGCATTTCCCACCATTTCCCTGAATTAGACCCACCCAGTGCCAGGCTGAGCCAGATAGCCACAAGCCTCCCCTGCAAGGGCCAAGCTGCTCCATCCTATTTCCTGCATGATGGGGAGCCCACCAGGGTACCCCTTTCTTGTGGCAGGCAGACCTGCAGGAGAAGCCAGATGGCACCAATTCAAGCAGGTTCTTCCTTCTGTCCCCCAGTTTCGTTAGGTCAGTCACTTCTACCCCTGGGCAGGAGTGAATGAGTGGGTTGGAGATGTCAGCAGGGTTGCCCTGCTGGTCTGCCCCTAGAGGCACGCAGCCAGGTGACGGGGACCTCCACCAACACTTTAACACAGTACCTGGCACACAATGAGTGGCCACTAAATGTTATTAAGGTGTGAGACACTAGGGAGCTTTACGATACATGGTTGGGGATAGAAATGAACGTCTCTGGGTGGTGAGGCCACGGACCTGGTTGACATATTTGCTTATCCAGTGAACATGTACCCAGACCCTCCTATGTGGAAGACAGAGAAGGTAAAGACCTTACTGCTTGAGGCAGGAGTCGGTTAAAAGCATGAAAGGCACCGCAGTAGGGATAAATCCTAGGCGGTGTGGGAGCCCTGTGGGCTGCTGCCTGACCTCGTCCTTGGGGAGGTGTGAGAAGGCCCACAGGGGACAGCCAGGTAGTGCATTCACTGCCCTTACTAACCAGTGACCGAGTTCTGGAGCAGCTCCTAACAGCACCGCCATCACACTGCTCAGGACTTGAGTAAAACTCACCGTATGGCACCCCCTCTAAATATCTTTGTACCCTTTGCCATTTAAGCTCAAGTGTCTGCCAATATCTGGAAAAAACCCCGCTAGTCGCCTCAGTATATGCCCTGTCTCATTTTAGTAGCTGGGCTCCCTGGGGTCTTGGGGCAACAGAGAGAAGTCAGAACCTGTTTGGGTTCACGCATGACCTCATAAAGCCTGCCAGCATCTTGTGAGCAGATTATGGATATTCCAAGCCTTGCCCCAAGGAATATGTTTTGACCAGGACTGCTTGTGTAAGTTTAACAGAAACAAAAAACCAAAACCAAACCTGCTTTCCTGCCCCCTCCCCGTTAGACTACATTTGCCCCTTCTCCCCACCCTAGCACCACACTCATTTTTGACCATCAGCTGGGATACTGTTTAAAAAGCTGAGACAAGCAGGTTTGCCAGTGAGACATTTGCATCTGACCTGAAGGGGTGTATCAACGGAAACTGCCATCTACCTCTACCCTGACGGCTCCTGGCATATTGTGACAGGCCGCATGTCTGTGGCCCTGAAATTTACACATGGGGTCTGGGCTCTTCCTGGTATCTTGGTGCCAAGGGTATGTTATATCCTCCACCATATCCATCAGTCAAGGGTCAGAAAACGCCAACTACATATACCCTAATATTAACTAAGGAAAAGATGATGGCAAAGTGCAGAAGACAGAAAGTGTAGGTTACAGATGGCAGGAAGGGAGTGGGGGAGAGTAGATTTGTTCAATAGGTAAGGTGATACCCATGGGGATGATACAGGGCTGAGAAGGTGTCTAATCCTGTAAAGGGAGGACACCTTTGCTAAAGCAAATTGGATTCCAGACCCCCAATTAAGTGGGGAGCTCAGTGTAGGCCCAAGTTCTGATTGAACTGTGTCCTCCAGCCCTTCCATTTCTGAAGCCACATAAATTATCTACTATTAAAATCTTCAGCATATATGTCATGCTGAATTTTAAGTATGGGTCAACCAGTGTCACTGGGACATACTGCATTGGTATGTGAATTCATTATCATTGGTGGAGATGGGAAGGCAACTACTTTGAGCTAAAAACTGTGTCTGATGCAGTGAATACATGATGCTTAGATGTCCCAAAGAACTAGCTTTTCATATGAGTAACTTAATCTAACTCTTCTTAGGGCAGTCCATTGGGAATTCTTTCAACAGGAAGCCCCAAGTACAGCTTTTGGAAAGATTAGGAGGGCTTTTAGGCAAAGGATGAACCAAGCAATTTACTGGAACTCTAGGGTTCTCTGAAACTGCCTTGGGGCCCTGGGGAAGGGTAGGGCTCCAGGCTCCATGCACAGCAGCCCTGCATCTATTTGTTTTATACACACAGTGGAGGGTACAAAGTAAACTGCCCACGGGGATGAGGTAAATTAACAAGGAGAAGAAATCTAACTGGGATTACTTTGAATGGGAAGAGGATTCGCTAAGGGTCAAGGGAAGCTGCTCTCAGGAACAGCTGACTGTGGCCTGTCTTTCCAGATCTTATTTCTACTTTAGCAGTCATTTTTATAAAATCTCTTAGTTTTTGAATTGTTAGCAACTGATTTGAAAAAACAATACCCAAACAGTGAAAGTAAAAGTGTGACTGGAGGCCCTGCCCTATCTGGTTTGTGGGCTGGCAGCAACATCCCAGCCTGTGATAGTTCAGCCCATGCTTTAAATGGGGAATGTCACTACCTTCCAAGTCAGCCCCTATATGGAAGGAAGAACTGCCCTTGTTCACAAGACAGGAACTTATTAGGTTACCTGCTGCATTCTACCTGTTTCCTACAATTGGGTTCATTCCTACAATTAGGCAGCTGTACAGAGTAAAATAGGGTGGTGGGGCTCTGGGTAAAGCATGTGGGATCCTAAGTTGTTCCCTTGATGTCAAGCCTTTCTTAACACTGCACCAGATGAGGAGGAAAAGGTAGGAGCCTCAGGTTTGGTGACTCAATTACTTGAAATGACTAAAACTCTTATTTCAAATGTGGTCACTGACCAGTCTCCCTGCACATGAACTGTCAGTGTGGGAGTGCTGGCTAGTAAATACCCCTGTTTGCTTTCTCCCACCATTAGTTCCCTGCAGACCACTGTGCAGAGAGAATTCTGGGAAGGTAGGTCGGCCAGAGCCTTGGAACTCGGGGAGTGAGGAGCATGACTATCACTCAGCCACCCGTGTCCTGCTCTGATCCTGGCCAATGAGCCATGACTACATAGGTCAGCTACAGACCCCTGAGATTCTGTCCTCCCAGATGTAAACTACTCATGGAATGAAGGTGTTGGGGGACGCCTACCTGAGGTAGGTTACCTGTGCTCTGGATCTTGGGGTGAGGACCTGCTCTTCAAGTATCATAGAGACTCTCCCTGAAGGGAAGGTTTTTGTATCTTTTGAGGAAAAGCTCAAAGACCCAACTCTAATGGCTTTAGTTCCAAAACTGTCTCTGATTCAGGTAGCACAGGTTAGAGATGACAGGCAGGCTGAATATTGATTAAAAACAAACAGATCCACATTTTTATTGAAAACAGATACCTTCAGTATCTCTGATTAGAAGAAATCAGCTACAAGATACCATTACTCAGGAAAACAATATATACAGAAGTCTCAGGTAAGAGAGAATGGAACAGCCTGAGAACACAAGTAAAACAGGACTGGATCACTGGAACAGCCAGGTAGCAAAATGATACCAAGTCTGAGAAAGCTGTGCACTCAAGCCTGGGGCGGGGACTCTGTTCCCATATTCTTGGACCATGTCTCATGATTCTTTGGGGCAGAGGCACTGGCTGGAGCACAGGGATCTGTGTGCTGACTCTGAATAACTAGTCCAGGCTCAGGGCACAGGCCGAATACATGGAAGGAGGCCACCAGACAAGTCATACCTGCTCCCTAATGAAACCCGTAGGAGAGAAGCACTCTTTGCAAAGTCTATAGATCTGGCAGGGATCACTAGACCATGGAGAGCTTAGGGATAGTTCTGTGGCCAGTCACTTAAAAATACCTAGAGTAAGCTAAGCCCTAAACTGCTCTTATCCACTTCTCACTAACTAGGGAGGTAGAGGAGCAAGACATGGCAGCTGCCTCCAAACTAATTTTTGGTCTTCAGTAACAGGGATAAATGCAAAACAGTTCCACGAGTCCACTTGATATACACTATTGGGCATAGCAGGATCAGATTCCAGAGCCCCCTTCAGCATCTGCCACGGGACAGAGAGAGGACAGGTGCTGGGGGGAGATGTGTTCTGTGGTCACTACGGCGACACTTTCTGTTCTGTCCTGGCTCCATTTGTATAGCGTCTCCCGGCTTTCTGGATCTGCTCTCATGGCCCAGAGCCCTCGGTTCTCTGAGCTGAAACCTCCCAGCCTGAAGCACAGAGAGCGGAAACACCAGATGCAGAGGGTTCTCAGATGAGGGTGAGCAGGCAGTCTCCTGAGAACACAAGGTTCTTTCATGCCACCTCCACTGAGTTAGGGCAGGGCAAAGAGGATGCTGAGTTACAGGAGGCAGAACGTGGCAGCTCTGGAGCAGGAAGAAGACTGAGCCAGGAGAACGACAGGACGTCCCTGCTGCGTGGATGTAGCAGGCAGTGTCTGTGTCACCTGGCTTGGGAGGCATGCAAAGCAAAGTTCTGTCCAACTGGTGGGGGAACAGTATGTCTCACCACTTCCCGAATTCTCTAGGAGGAACACTACTCCTTCTCTGGAACTTCACACTCAAACAAACATAAGTTGAAGGAAAAAGGCTTTTCAGGGTCTCAGAAGTGCCCGCTGAAGGTCCTGTCTGTCAAGTTTGGCTTCTTGGAAGAGCAGCTTTGTTTCTGAGTCCGTATGCTGCTACAGATTTGGGCAAGACGGCTCTAAAAAGAAAAGGAGATAGGTCAGTTAGAGAAGATGGCACTGAGCATGCCTGCCCAGTTAGCCACTTAGAGTCTACTCAGCACTGGGTTTTAGGTCCAGGTGGATGATAAAAGTCACCAGATTAGGTGGCTGGGTGTATGTGTGATCTCAGCACTGGGCTGATGTTCAGTAGGATGTGTTTGGGAAAACAGCTCCACCCCTGACGCCTTCCTTGGATGTATCCTTCACAGACCCACCTGAAGAGTGAGCCTAGGGCAGCCACGTTTGCACTAACAGCTCCCATTCACCACCCAAGGCCAAGCTGACTGGACCTGGGAGGCCCATCTGACCAAAACTGAACCAATAAAATTTTCCTCTCAGAATTTAAACAAAGATAAGAAACCACACAGTCAGTGTTGGGCACTGGAGCAATAAAGTGAGTGTTGGAAGTGTGGCTACTCAAAGCTACATACAAACCAATGTTAATGGACAGCAGAGCCAAGAGCCTTGTGGAGAAGGTCATCTGCTGAGAGGGGAGAATGAAGAAGTGCCCAGTCCCAAAGAAAGATGCTAAGGGAGCCGGCGCGCTGGAGTGGGGCTCCACAAGCGCCTGTTGCTGGTGGTCCCACCACTCCACAGGCCTGGCTGTTCGGAGCTTTGATTCTGTGGGATTTTTGTAGCAAGCTCCTCCCTGCAACTCCCAAACTATTGTGAGGAAGTTTCAGCTCCTGGCAGTCAATCCTGTGGAACATACTGGCACCAACTGCCTGAATGCAGCAGGACTTTGATTTGGTTGAGGAATTTCTGTGGCAGGCTCTTTGGGATGGACTGAAACTCATCAATTCAGGGACAGAATTGTTGCTAGGTAAGTAGGAGAACAGTCAAAATCCCTTGGGGGTAAAAAAGGCAACACAATTCTAAGTGTAAAGCATTAGCTCAGATCCAAAAGACAGTTCTAAGTACAGCCAAACCAAGAAGCTACTGGAGGCACCCCATGCATGGGGATGAATGAGACTTACAGAGAACTTCTTAACGTTCCCCAAGGCCTCTGGGTCCAGCTGTGCAATATCAAGCCTCTGCAAGTCACTGGCCAATAACCGCATGCTCTGTGTGGAGAGGAGAGTGGGTTAAATTGGCATGTCCCTTTGGGCAGGAATGTCCACCCAGCACCAGTGTGCCCCAGGGGTCCCCTTGATATGGTGCAGTTGGTTGGGGGAAGTGGCAAGGCAGGTAGGAGTATCAGCCCTAAGGAGACATCAGTGCTTATTGGACTCGTGGGTGGGTCACCCAGGTAACAAGGGTGTGTACATTAACTTAGAAATGCCCTCTATGCCACATCTGAGAAGCTGTCCTTCCCTCCTGGGACCTGAGGTCAGCAACTTGCTCTGCTCAGCCCAGAAGGGCTCAGCCTGCGTTCGAACCCCTCAAAGGTCTACAGAGTGGGAGACAGCTCCTGCATTCTCTCTGGGCTGAGCACATACGCTGACAGTGCCTTCCCCTGTGCCCCCTCTGCTGTCCCCATCACCACACACAGCACAGGTATCATAGGGGACTCTGAACCTGTCTCGACTACTGACCTGCTTCTCAAGAGCAGGAACCACGTCTGCTTAGACCCAAAAGACAGTCCTAAGTACACATGGGCCTGTTATAAGACAGGTGGGCAAATTGTAGCTGATGGAAGAAATGGAACCCAGAGCTGGGCAAGGATCTTTCCAGTCTGGGCCTCTAACCTGGGAGAGAAAACTGGGTTCTGAGTCCTACAGGAATCATGCAACCAAAGACTTAGAGAGAAGTAAGTGATGGACAAATGAAAGACAGGCTGACTAAGCAGCCCATGGAGGCCTGGCCTCCCCCACAACACTTACCTCTCCACCTCCCACCGGCACAGTGAGGAAAATCTCTTTGCTGCCGGCTAGAGGGCTGCCATTGACTGAGATGTTGTAGACCTGCTCTCTGGCTGCTGGAGTACGCAGGCCTGGGGTCTTGAAGACTCTACAAAGTGGGAAAACCTTTGTAAAGATGGCCTGGCAGACTGAGTGCCACCAGGCGCCAAGAGCCTTTCCAGCCCCCATCTGGCCTCAAGCCGGTTTTCAAATCACACATTTCTAAGAAGGCGAGTTCTAAATTTAGGGGGGAAAGTCTTCTTAAGCAGTAATGACTAAACACAGCTGGAGAAAGGAGGTTGTAATTATCAAACATACATCTAGTTAAAGTCATTTCTTATCCATGTAAATTTTAGGTCCAAAGCTCCATATGGATGCCAGCCATCCATCCATCCACAAAGCCAGAAATAAACTATGGTTAATGTATTTCCAAGAATGGCTAAGTGCTTCCATCAAGAGGAATTTTCCAGGATCAAAGGAGGATGATTCAGAGATTACATCATTTTATTAATTTCCCAACTAAGTTTCTCAAGGCAGTTGAAGTGTTGCTACTTATTTTTCTTTAAATGTCGTTTGCTATATTCTCATGTGCAAAAACAAACAGTTAAGAAGAGTTGGAATTAAAAGTAGAACGTAAGTCTTCCTTACTCTTCTCCCCCAGATACAACCACTCTCAAGTCCCTGTGCCTCCAGAAACTTTCCATGTGTATAAAAGCAAATGGGATCATTTAGGACACACTGTTCTCCGTGGTCATGAAGCTCTTCCGCATCGGCACGTACAGACTCACTCCTTTTATAGTGGCCTATTTAGTTGACCAACCCTATGGAAGGGATTAACTTATGCTGCAAAAACATCCTTTTTTATGTAAGATGGTGTCAATTTTCACTCCTGTCCAGAGTATAGGAGAGTACCTGCCCATTAAAAAAAAAAAAATTCTGGTCATAATCAGAAGAGACCAAAAAAGGCACTGGAGGCCTCCTGGTCATCAGAGAAGAATCCTTTCTCCCGCCCACCCGGTAAAGAATCATTCTGTCGCTGTGAACAGGTGACCCCGCACTCAGGAGAGGAACACTGGGAAGCCCAACAGCTGCCCTCCTGAGAGGACTTCCCAGGCTGAGCAGCCGTGAGTCTTTCCCCACCACCCTTCTTTTCTGCTGATTAAATGCTGGGCTCCCACCCAAACTCAGCGCAGCTCTCAATACTCACCTTGAGTCAAACCTGGACATCAGGCCTGGGGTGGGTTTCACCATAGACAGCTCCAGGCGGCCCACAGCTGGGGTAACAGTGCTATGATGGCTCGACCTACGGGTAGGAAATGGCCATTAGGCTGGAACTCCCAGGTCCAAAGACAGCAGCAGGGCAGGTAACACTTGGGGAGCACTGACCACGTCAGACACGGTGCCAAGTGCCTTACGTGAGCGTCTGCAGCCCTCCCAACAACTCTGAGAAACACTGCTGTTATCCTCACTTACAGATGCAGAAGTTCCGGCATACTGAGTTTAACTAACTTGCCCAGGATCACACAGCCACTTAGGGGGCAGCCAGACCTTTGAACTCAGGCAGTCAGACCCCAGAACTGGACTTTTCAATCAAGTTAATAGAACAAGCCTGTCAACAATCTGCAGCCCCCCAGCTGGAGTTCTTCTCTTGCTGGCAGCTAGCAGTGCTCAGGGAGAAACAGGAGAAGCCTGCTCCTTCACAGATACATCCCAGTGACTGCTTCCCAGTCCTGCTGAGATGTCCCCCACTCCCACCCCACGGGTTAGTATGGAGATGCCCATGATCGTGAAGCTCAGAAGTTGGTAGGGTCCAGCATAAGCCATTCCACTCGTCTTTACTTGGCAAGACCAGGAGGAACATTTCAAGACACAAACTAAAGGTACGTGGCAACCACTTTGTGACTGACCACAGGGTAGCTCTGCACACGGAACTGTCAGGTAACTAAACAAAATATGCAGTGCTTACAGTGCAGTAGGCACTGCACAGTACCCAGCACCTGACCTGACAGTGTCTCTGCACCTCACTCTGTTTGCATTAAAAAAAAAAAAAAACGTGGGGGAGGAAAGAGAGCAAGGGCTGCAGACCTGGAGGTGTTGGGTCAGATCATTTCTAGAAACTCTAGATCCTCAAGGATCTGATGACTTGAAGCTCTACTGGAACATGAGCCACAAAAGCCCTCACACTCCCTTGTCTGCCAAGCTCTCCAGTAAAACCAAAACACGCGTCTACATTTGGAAAATCCATTACCTTTTGCTTTTGCCTTTTCCTTGTATGGACTGGGTTCTCTTCTTAGATGGAGGACACCTTTTGACCTGAAGTCACAATCAAATGAAACAGATTACAGGAAGCCCCACAAAGGGAAAAGGGAAGGGAAGGTGAGAAAAGTACTGGGAGAGGGGGACCAGCTCTGGAAAAGATGACTGATACTGAACATAAGACAGACTATGTCACAGAATTCAGTGACTTAAGTAATTCAGAACATAGTTGATCAACTAAGGACTTATCCTAGCTGGGTCTTCAAAATAGCGTGTTTTTGCCAAGAGTTAAGGTAAATTCTTTTGAACTGATCGCAGCCTGGCTTGTCGCCCCCCATCCCCTTACATAAATGGTTGCTTCAGAAGTCACTGAGGCCATCCTGGGGGCCCAAACCAAGGAAACCTCGGCAGGTACCTGACAGGGGTCCTGAATCCTTCAAGGTACCTGGCAAGAACCACTCCTTACCTTCCAAGATCCACCCGTCTCCCTGCTTCCCCAGCTGCCCCTCTGCAGCCTGCCTCACAAGCTCCTCTTCCTACCCTCCCTCTGAGTGTCCGTCCTCGCCTCCCTCTCCATGCTCTCCCTGCACCTCTTCCACCCCCACCCGGGGACCCCCACCTAAGGATCTAGGAGTCAGTGTGTCTCTCTCTCAGTCACCTGCTCCTCCCTGAGTTCCAGATTGAAGCTTCTATCTAGGCTGGATGTTTTGGAAAAGTATTAAACACTCAACCTGCCAAACAATCAACAACTTAACTGCTCCCCTTCATCTGAACCCAGCACACTCTTGCTCGTGTGTGTGTGTCCCACACTCCACTGGGTGGCAGTTGCCCAAAGCCAGAAACCATTTCACCATCTCTGGTTCTTCCTTTCCTCCACCAAACTCGCGATTCTCCGTTTTAAAACACATCTCAAAACCATCCCTTCCTGTTTTAGAGGGTCAGTGCCTTTTCCGCACTCCTACTTATCTGGAACACTCTTCTGACATATAGATCCATCCACGTCACTTACCATTACCTACCCGATGACACGGACACTTCCAAGCTCGCTGCACAAGGCCATTCATTATCTGGCCATTCCACCCGGCTCCCATTCCAGCCCTACCCAACTGCTTCCTGTTCCTTAAATGGACGCTTGTGTATCTCCTCCTGGAATTCCTTCCCCTTCCTTCCCCAGCTCGTGAAATCTCACCCACCTTTAAAAGCCTGGTTGTATCCTAATGGGGAAGACTTGATAGCTTTCTCTTCTATGCTCTATGCATTTTGTACAGATTTCTACCACTTTTGTTGTTAGCCATTTAAGTGGGACCTCTGGGAGGGCAACACTGTATTTTACTTATTTTTGTATTTCCTTATCTCATCAGCTCCCAGCCTGAACCTTACTTACTCTTGCAGTTTGAAGAGTCTTGTTTTTACTTTCTTCTTCTTCTTCTTCCACTATCATTTCATCTACTTGTATTACCTTCCGTGCTGTAAGAGACAGTTTTGACTGGGGATAAACTTCCTTATGGGAATGAACTTTTACGCACTCACATTTCTTACAGGAAATAAAACTGATGTAATCTGCGATCAAGAAATAGACTCAGTATAAAAAAGATACCTTTTTAAAATAGAGGATTTAGACAAAGGAAACTCATCAGAGTGGTTAAGTAACTCCATGTGATGCCTCGTGTGGGCAGCCCAGCATTCTGGTGAGAGAGCAGAACTCTGGAGTCAGACCTGAGCTTGCCCAGCCCCACCACTAACCAGGTCGCATGGCTTGCATAGTGGTGCCTCAGTGTCCTCATGTATAAAAGGGAGTAGTCACCTTAAAGTGATATTATGAGAACTGGAATGTGTATTCCATAAGAACAGGGTCTTTGTTACTTTTATCTTGTATCCCCAACCCTAAAATTGTGCCTATAACTGTTCATTAAGTGTCTGTGGGATGAATGACTGTAAAGCCTTTTTAATAGAACTGGACATGTTATAATAAGTATTATTATAGTAAAATATTATTTATGTAGACACTGCAAGGAAACTTAGAAGAAACTTTCTAACCACCACAACTGTTGAGTGATGAAGGATAGAGACTGTCTCATTGCTAAATATGTATAACCAGGAGCCAGACAATCATGAGCTGGAATTCCATGGAGAAAATTCCTGCATTTAATCATGGGAGGGTGCAGAGATCAGACTAAATGACTTTTTAGCCTTTTTTCCTGACACATTAAATAAGAATGTAATTTTTAAACTTTTTTTTTAAAGCAATTTATAATGTGGTCAAAGTCTGATAAATGGTCAAGAGGGCACAAAAATGATTTTTACTGTTGGTAGGGATTGGACTTGGTTTGCTCAGTTCCCAGGAGTGGAATCAGAAGACCCCACCCCTCACCCCCAACAAGTAAGTAAAACTGGTGGAACTCAGAAGGGAAACCCTGAATGTAGAAGTAACCTAAAGTGACCCAACAGATGATAAACATGTGGCTGAGGAACTCTAGGAACAACACCCAAGGCCAATTTACATCCTAACCTAGTGGAATGACCCTAGCAGAGTGCAAATGTTGTTTTCTTCCTGCTAACCATGCAATTCTGATGGGAGGCAAGGTGGAATAAGAACTGGACAGTGCTTCTATTTAGCCCTGCCTTGTGGGCTTCTATCTAACCCTGGTGGGCACCCCAAAATCCAGGTCATTGGTTAGGTTCATCCCCACACTATTTGGATGCGCTGAGCTACTAAAGCTTAATGACAACAATATAAAGTCTATAACAGAACTTATCCTGTCCTGATTCCACACTTACTAATTACAATCTGGCCTCCCAAAGACTTTCTGGACGAGACAGTATTCCTCGGAGTGTGGGGCAGGCATGTGAGATGGTTTTACCCAGATGGGTCACTGAACTGAGTAACATGGAATGACATGGTGAGGGACTGAGTCCTTTTACAGTTCTCTTTCAACCCTTCTGATCACATCAGGGAGTCTCAGCTGGCATCACCATGTCTTATAACAAACCTCTCGATCTCGCTAACCTCTCCAACTCGGGGGGAAGCGAGCAGGCCACAGTGTCTGGTCTCCAGCACAGCTTTTCTTTTCTCCTTTTACTTTCACTTAGCTTGTACATTGCTCTGCAAAGTTTGTTTAGTATCAGTCCTGCACACAATTAACTGAATGCAGAACAATCACATTTTTAGATTTCCAAGACTGAGGAACGGACTTTAGAGGGCAGAGGCTCCAACAATGAAGCTTCTCTGAGCAGCCAGCCAACCACCCTGGGCCTCACCTCTCTCTCGGTTCACCAAGGAATTCTGAAAAGTACTCACATTTGGCAGATTTCAGGGGTGTCTGAAAAGCTTCTGCTGTTAGTTTGTTTATTTCTGTAATATCCAGGTCAGCCTGTGACAAACACAGCCAGAAAACACCCGGCATATGCCATCAAATATGAGGAATAATCTTTTATGATTAAGAACAATTTCAAAAAAATATTGATACAATCCAAAAATGTAACATTATTAAACACTATAGTGAACTCCCATAAACCCACCATACAACCCAAGATCTAAAACACTACCAGTAACTAGCTATATATTCTTCCCTATTCTATGTCCTTGTCTCTCCCCAAAGGTGACCAGTCTCCAAACTGTCACTTCCCAGAGGTAACCACTATCAATCCATTTGCTTAAAAGAGTGTATGTGTATATGTACATAAATATTTGTTCACTAATTTTATGTGCTTAAACAATATTTTGTTTTGTTTTTGAACACCACTTGTGGTTGTAGTTAACTTGTCTGCACTGCTATAATAACATCCCTCTGTGTGCCTACCACAATGGATCTGTCCAATCCGCTGTCAATAGCCTTCTACTACTATTACCAACATGGCTACTAAGAACGATTTTATACATGTGTCTGAATGACAATTCCAAATTTTCTTTTAGCTGTGTGTTGAGGAACAGGGCATTACAAGGTTGTAGGGTACACAAATATTTAACCTTGGTATTATTCCAAATTTTTTTCCAAAATGATTGCACTTGTTATATTTCACCAGCAAATGATACAAGTTCTAATGACCCACACATTCTTTGCAACACTTAATGCTGTGTTAGACTTCTCTTTTTTTTTTTAAAGTCTAGAGGGTGAATAAGGTTTTCTATTGTCCTCCTGGGTCTTCAAAAAGATTTCCAGACACCATTCTAATTAAGTTTTTCCCGGTGGTGACTACCTATGAGAAAGCCATGAGTAGGCATGATTTGTAGGCCTTTTCTTATAAGGCACATGTAAATATCAGAAGAGCTGTTACAGACCAATAATGACATGGGTTTCATCTCTGGATTGGTAGGGACTACATGGAGCACTCAGAGGATTCTGAGGCTGTCCAGGTGTAGCAAAGAAGCAGTGTTGTAACAGATCATTGATGTCTGGTTGATGGAATGCAAAGTGGTGGCCAACTTTCTGCCATCCCAGAAACACCTGGCATGTTATGAAGGAATCACTGGTTACAGGCTACCTATCACCAACTGTGCAGAAGAGTTAACAGGCCTCAGACTGATCCATAAAAAGGCCTGTTTATACGGCTGGCCCGTCCCTTGCATGAGAACTTGGATTTCAGGGTTCCTACCATTCCCTGATAAGGATGGTGCACTGTGCCAGCTTTGTACAAATATGGTTTATGCTGAACACTTGATTCCTTCTGGAAGTCTGAAACTTTAATGTGTGCTAGAAGATACCTATGTTGCCAGCCCTCAACAAAAGCCCTGGGCATTGAGTCTCTAATAAGCTTTTCTGGCAGACAACATTTCACAAGTGTAGAGTTAAGTGTGTTCTATGTGCCTCCACTGGGAGAGCACTCTTGAAAGCTCGGGCCTGGTTTTCTCCGGAGTTCTCCCCAGGGACTTTTTCCCTGTGCTGATATTGCTTTGTATCCTTTCATCGTAACAAACCATAGCCTGGAGTATGACTATATGCTGAACCATAAGTTCTCTTAGTGAATTACCACTCCTGGAAGTGGACTTGGGAGCCCCCTCACATCTAATTAAGAAGTTTTGTGTCAAAGTATCATTTCTTCCCTAAGTTTTAAATCATACTAGCTATGGCTAGAATTCTGTCAACTTGGTGTGATGACAATGGACATACTCTGTATGTCCGATTTTTAAAAAGTGATATGTTTGTTAATGAATGTAATTCATCTCAGAGGTTAAGCCTCTTTGGAACATTAGATCTGAGTATGTGTAGGGGAACATATTACACAGAGAGAAAACATGGACTAAGGACGTGTTTGTAGCTCTTGATTATATTTTTCAGTTATCCCCACTCTCCTACAATATTTGCCCCAGACACTCTCATTTTTTCCTGATTAAACAACTGGCTCCTAAGTACCTTTAATCTCTTCAGGCTTGTGGAGATCCACTATTCAGGGCTATTATGTACCCTTTGTAGTTAGATACTTTCAAATCCTGAGATTCCAAATGATCAACTCATAGAAGGATATAGATTTTTGGGTTCACTTTGTAACTCTGCTGAAGGCTTTAATAAGCCTTCTCCCCAGAAAGATACAAATGCGTGTACACACACATTGTCTATGATTTTAGAGTGCATGGGTCTCAGTGAAGGCCACTTGCGGACTAGCTCCCAATGCTCTCCAATAGAACTCTCTGCAAAAGGAGCATTGCTCTGTTTCTGAGCTGCCAATACTGGGCCACTGGTCATGGGTGGCTCCTGAACATCTGAAACGTGACTAATATGTGAGGAACTGAATTTTTAGTTTCATGTATTCAAATAGCTACATGTGGCTAGTGGCTCCTGTACTGGACAGTACAGACCTAAACTCTTTATTTTGCCTCCCCATTTTTGTCTTCAGTCCCGGTACAGGCTCTGTGATGAAGGGAGTGAGAGGGGTGGGGAATCCTGAGAGTCCCAAGTAAGAGCACAGCTTCTACAGTATGACACAAAACAAGAGTCTCTGTCCCCTAGCAGGCCAGGTCACTATGTAATGACCAGGGGCTTAAAGGTACTTGGGCTTGAGGCTTTCTCTTCTCCTTCAAAGGTCAGGGCAACAAGCTGCTCGGAACCTGCCAAAAATAGAACTACCTCTGTTCCTAGGGCTCATTCCATTATGTACTCGGCATTTGACAAGAATAATTTTTCAGCTGACACGAATAGAGTATGTGTCCTGTGGAACCTTTCCTCAGTTGAGTACCCACTGGTTAGCTTTTGTGACTGGACTAAACTCTAAAACTAATCAACAGTTCCAAAACAGGACAGATCACTTACTGTTGCTGCCTTTTCCAGGGCCTGTTTGTTTCCTCCAAGGGCTTTAAAAAGAACATTTAATTAGTTACTATCAGATTTAATGATAAATCATCTTTCCTAATATGACCAGTAATCTTTCTAAAACTGGACCAGATCAAGTCCTTAGCCCAACATTCAAGGACCTTCACAATCTAACATTTCTACAGTCTAATACTATTTCTCCAAGCTTGACTTGTCCCGCTCATGACCTGTGCTAATTGTGTTCTATTGCACCAAAGTTCTTGCTATTTCCCACATGTGCCACTCTCTCTCAGGACTCAGTGCCTGGTACTCATCATTTCCTCTGCCCCAAATACTCCTCTGCACCCAAGAAATTCTTAATTCATCCATTTAAACTCAGCTTAAACACAAAACTCTGCTTATTTTTCTATCACAGTAATTGCTGTGAGTGCTGAGTTAGTTGCTCACTTTCATCATACCCAACAACTATATAAACCTATTTAAGTGTCCACCCTGACTTGATCTGAATTCCTTGAGAACAGAGATAATACCCACAGTTTTGGGCAAAAATACAACAAAAGTGGATATGGAGTAAATGTGTTTTGAATGAGGAGGTCTGTGCAAGGTTTAGATGTGGAATAAAAAGTTAGGTTAGGTCCTCCAGCTAGAAGCTCTCATAAGGTCCTATAAACAGTTAAGAACTCAGGCTTTGAACTCAAATGCCTGTGTTCAAATAGACTGCCATTAACTAGCTTATGAGACCTTGAGCAAAGTAACCAATCTCTCTGTGCCTTTATTCTGTCATCTACAAAACAGGGGCAATATTAATACAGTTATATGCTCATTAATACATAGTTAATATACATAAATCACCTGGTACATGCAGCACTATAAAAAGTGTTTACTCCAAATGCCTAGGGTGCCTAACTGGTTTTCTTGGCTTCACTGGAGATGGCTGGTAATTATAGATTTGCTTTGTTTATGTCATCATATTCCTATTATGTTAATATATGTGCGCAAGTTAGTTAGTAGTTTAAAACCTATACATGCTTAAGGTACTCTACAAGAAGATATGTCAAAGAAATAATCAATCCTCCCATGTTTTCTTCCATATGCTACCTCTATAGCTTTTCTTCTTCCTTCCTAATTACAACCCTTAAATAGAATTCGTGCCTCATATCGAATTTACCGAGTATCATAATTCCTCCAGGTGGTAAAGATACCTCGAGACAAGTGCTGGGCATAGAAGCCACAGGGCATAAATCTGCAAAGAAGTAAAAAGCTAACCTTTTCAAACAATATGGCTTCTCTCTCACTTACCAACTTTACATTTCCCTGTATGGCCC